CATTCCTGGAGCAAAGTCAGTCTCTGGGACACCATTGCTGGTAGGACAGTGCTAGCTGTGCTTGTGTTCGCCCCCATTTGTAGCCAGCTGAGTGGGACATGCTGGAAGCTGGGTTAAGGTTGGAGTTCTGGCAAGCCCCCAAACATTTTGTTGCTAGGCTGGATGGTGTTCCCTGAAAATTAGGTCGAAATGTGGCTGCTGCTGAGCAGTCTCAGGTTGACGAGAGCGTGGTTTTAACAGCTTGGTTACTGCCCCAGCGGTCTGCGCTCCCTGGGTCCGCCTCATGAGTGGGTCCCCTCTGCACTCTCCCTCGCTCGCCTCTGGTTCTGTCTCAGTCGCAGTGAGCCGGGTCTGGCACGGACACCAGTAGGTAACTCTTGTGCTGTCTTTGCAGTTCAGACATTTTCTTTTTGGGTGGAAGGAAAAAATCAGGTGATTGAAACACCTCAGCAGTATGGATGAGATTGAATGAGTATGGGTGAAGTATATGCTCAGTGGGGAAGGGAGCTACTTTTTACACTGGACAATCTCCGGTCTGCTTTTTTATGTGTGACCTGTTTGCGCAAATTTGCTGGTGGGCTGGAATTTTAGGCTGGGAGAACTGAGGCCAGGATATGCTGGCGATTTCCAGAAACATCCTGAAACCTTTGCAGAAGATGTACCTGTTAATTCTATAAGCAATAATAAATGACATTAAAGATGATGGTGGCTATGCTGCATAAGTGGAAGGATTGCTGTAGTGTGTGGCCTGAGTTCTTAGTGAAATTAATTCTCCTGTAGCCAGAAGATCAGCAGGTGTTCATCCTTGTTCCTTTGGGTAAAGGCACTGAGAAATGGTCCTGAGGTGTCAAAGAGCTGATGGCTATGAGAGAGAATTCAAGAATCTCCTGCCTTGGCTTTAAATAAATTGTCCTTATCCCTAGCCAGTCTGGGGTGTCTGTCATCTGCCTTGAGGGTCCTTTTCTCTGTGCTTAGTCTCTGCCCTTTGCAGATGGAGGGCCTCTCTTCTGCTGCTCCTCTCGGCCCTGAAAGAAGACACGGTTCCTCGTGGTCAGCGAGGGGTTGTGGGTGTGCACCGCTCCTGTCCCACTGCAGCAAAACCTTCTCCTCCCTGGCACTGTCCTATGGGTCTCTGCCTCCTGTGCTGTGGGGCGAGGGGGAGCTGTGCTTACGGTGCCTGCATCTGAGAGCACCTCTGTGCCGTGAGAACACCACTATGTGCTGCTCAAGTGTGTCTCGCCACATTTTGTCCTTCCTAGGGCTGCTACACTGTGATCCTGAACTCCTTTGAGACCTACGTGTACCTTGCAGGAGCCCTTGCCATTGGAGTGTTGGCCATTGAGGTACTTACTGTAGTGTAACTAGAAGAAAAGCAAGTGTTGGTAGATGTCCAGCAGTGAGGCAAACAGGCAGGTGCTCCCCCTTGCCAGGGGAAGCTTCTCCTGCAAAGTGTGAGCAGGTTATCAACTTGTGGTTTTAATTGCCTAGAAAGAGCTGGGTGCTTGGTCTTCTGCCACAAAAGGCAGGGGAGTCATGGATGCCACACGCCTGCAGCACCGCAAGCCTGCAGTGCCGCCTCGTGTTGGCCTCGCCACACAGCTCGCACCCTGCCACGCTGGCCACGGAGACTTTGGGGACCCACCACCTGCCCCGGGGCCTCGCACAGTCACATCCATTATTGCGGCAGCAGCCCAGCAAGCTGGCTCATCTGTCACTTGGTTAACGTGTTCGAACTGTGCCTTTGCTTTAAAAACTTCTGTTTAGAGCCTGAAACTGTATCGGCTCCAGAGCATCTCCGTTATACAGCATTAGTGTCTGTCTCTTTGGTGATGTTTTGGAGGAACAGGCTTCCACCAGACGTGACATCAGCCCAGAAGTGATGTTGCTGCAGCATTGCTGTGGCAAGGCTGGGTGCTTTCCCCAGTCCCCTGTCTTGTGCAAAGGAGAAGGAGCTGGGCAGAGCCCCAGCAGCCCCCATGAAGGTCCCAACTGTGCCTGCTCCAGGCAGTGAGCACAGTGTGCAGAGCAGGGACCATAAAGCCTGCTCCCCTGTGACACCAAGGGTGGTTTGGGAACGAAGCCAGGCTGCTGCTGTAGCCACAGTTTAGGGGACAGGGGGAGGGGAGGGATCGTCTTCAGGAAAAAAAAAGTTTTGCCACCCCTGGCTGGTGGGAAGGGTCCCCCTTGCTGTGCCACTGACTGCTGGGCAGGAGGGAGTGACAGGAGTGGTGCTGGGGCCAAGGAGGGCTTTGCCAATCTTCTGGAAGATGCAGCTGACTCTCATGGTTCTCTGTTTTGTTTTTGTCCTCTTCTCCCCCTCCCCCCCTTCCAGCTGTTTGCCATGATCTTTGCCATGTGTCTCTTTCGAGGGATCCAGTAGGAGGTGGCCCATGAACCACCACGTTCCCCACGTACTCAGAAGAAAAAAGGAAAATCAGAAGAAACAAAACCTGAAAACACCCAAAAACCTTTATTTTTTTTAACAAAATGGGGTAGGGAGAAAAAAAAAAGAAAAAAAAAGAGGGTTGTAATATATGAATGACCAAAAGGATTGTACTTCAGGGGCTGGAACTTTGAGGTGATGTGCACTACACTGTACACCGGACCCTTGCCCAGAGCCACCCGCAGCAGCCGTGGAGCAGGAGCCCAGCGCAGCCGATGATTGCACTAGAGACTAACGGAGCTGGCAGGGGGGAGCGGGAGGACGAGCACAGCTGCCTCTCCTGCAAGGCTGTGCCTACTGTTCACAACTTTATCCTGTTTTAGACAGCAAAGGACGGAAGAACAGCCACGCAGGGGCTGGATAAGGCAACAGGTTGGCCAAAGTCTGTGACTGTCTAGGAGGGATTGAAACAAGCAGTGGTGGCTCGTCTCAGAAGTAGGTAGTCGTTGTTCGCGTGATTCTGGCTTTAATACCCAACCACAGAATGAAAACACACGTTCTTCAGCAGAAGCTTTGCCCCTGTCACCTGAAACTTGTCAGAGAAGTCGGGCACTTCAATGAGGCTGGCTTTTCTCTGGAGCCCCAGGCAGGGGCAGCGTGGTCTCACGTAGTGATGGGACTCAGCTAAGGCTGGCTGATGGATAGCAAAGAGTTTTGTGCCTACCTTTCTGGTTTTACTAAGATTTACTTTTCCTTGTTGTGAAAAAGAAAGAGAGCAAATAGTTCCCTGCTGTGCTCCCATCTCCTGGGAAAAATAATGGCTCTGGAAAAGAATCATTGATACTGCTGCCTTCCTGAGAAGGGGAGGAAATAGTGTTTAAATCTTGTTGGCCGTTGCCTTTCCCTTCATACTTGCAAAAAACAGTTTGTGGTGCTCTGTTAGCATAAATATTTGCAGTGAATTCCTACATGCTTTCCAGCCCTAAGCAGAGTTCCAGGCATGGCGCTGGATGGAGGCGGCTGAGGTTTGTCAGTCTCCCATGCTGTTTGCCTGAGACAGTCATGTGGTGTCATTTCTGCTCAGAGGATTTCCCCCGAGATCCTTCCATGGGTGCATGACGAAAGCATCATCAGAATTGTTTTAGTCTGTCTGCTAGTTGACAGTGTGTCCTCCCTTCAGACAGTCTGACATTTAACTAATGTTATCATCTACTTAATCACTTGGAAGTGAACCTGAGAAAAAAGCCTGGGACTGGGCCTTGGTCAGAGATTAAGATGGAACTGCTGAGGCCCCAGGAGCACCCAGGGTACAGCCAAACCACCAGCTCCAGTGGTCGGGGTTATCTACCCAGACAGGTCACTGGTTTCTCTCCTCTGGAAGCCTCAATGCCTGTTGCGCTAATTGTTCATCCGGTCACTCCCTGACCCCAAACTCGTCGTGCTTGGGGGAGGACAGAAGGGGCTGTGGTTTCTTGTTTAGCTTAGGTCTTTTTACAGATTTTATAGGCTCCGATTATGGAGCACTTTTACATAGGCTTAAACCAGCACCTCTGGAAGCTGTAAGCCCTGGCAAGGCAGGCGAGGGGGCAGAAGGCAGCAGCGAGGAAGCTCGTGCCCAGGTTTGTTGGCAGCAGGTGCCCTTGGCCTGGCTGTTCCCTTTGGGGCTGTGTCCTTCAGCGCTCCCGCTGGCACCGCGCAGGTGACAGGGGAAGAAGGAAAGCAGTGGAAAGACTGGTGCGTAATAGACAACGATCCTGGCTAAATGTCCAGGTTGGGGAATCAGGATACGAAAGAACCAGGAAGGAGGCATTAGAGCTTTTCCGAGCTTCACTTGAGAACAACAATTTGCCCATCAGCAGGAGAGGGCAGGTAGAGCTGCAGCTCCCCCGCGCCACAGTCAGCATATTCCAGCAATGGAACAGGAGGCCAGGGCTGCTGAGCAGCCTCAGATGTTGCATTTAAACCTCGTGGAAAGCTTTTCTGAACTATTTCCTTCTGGATCTGCTTTTAATGAGGCGTATTAGCATTAAATTCTGGTCTGTTGTTTAATGAAGGAAAAGAGTTTTGCTAGCCAAAAACCCGCAGTATTTGTACCCGACAGCAGGTGCTGCGCTTAAGATAGGAAAAATCTGTTGCATCTACTCATCGTGCAGGGAACGGGCTGAGCAGAAGGCGAGCTTATCTGTTCAGCTTCTGCCTCAGGAGCTGGTGTCAGCGACTGTTCTGGGAGAGCAATTCCCAGGGGAGGAACAAAACCACGAGCAGAGACGGTAATTTGGCTGGAGGTGAGCGAGAGAAGCAGAACTGCCTCTCCCAGACTGCATTTTTTTTCCTTTCCCCTCAGTTCATTATGCACAGGCCTGGCTGTCTCAGGTCAGAGCCTGGAAGGCGAATACCTTGATTTTTGTGCATGGTGGGTGGCTGAAGGGGAGAAAAAAAAAAGAAAAAAAGCCTTAAAGCCTTTTGGTACCACCAGTGGCAGGAGTGAAAAACTGTCAGAGCTGGGGGAACTGGACCAAAGCAGTGCTAAGTGATAAATACACATGCCTGAAGCAGGATCTCTGCCAGCTTATTTCTCTTTGGCTTTCCTAATTCTGTACCCATTGCTTTGTCTGGTTTTAGCTTTCTCACTTTGCCTCTCTCCCTAACGGTAGTCCCTGTATCTTCAGAAAGATCTCTTGTTCGTCTGTTATTCTGGCCTTTGCACAGCTGTTGCTCTTCTCTTACCTTCTCCAATCCCCCACTGCTCTTTTCTGGATGAAGACTCCACATCCTCTCTGCAGCTGGCTAGCGTGCCACTGGCAGCACAGCTTGAAACCTCAGCGATGGTCAGTTTTAAACAAGAACTGGAGATAGCTGTAAAGATACGTGCAAGTCTGAGAGGACCTGTGGAAGTTGGCAACAGGCAAGAAGGAATTTCCCCCGGGGTTGGGGGGAATTTAATTGAACAGGCAAGCCCAGAAAGGTGATTCCCGCTGTATGGCAAAGCATGTAAATGTGTTGGTTTTGTCCCTTGGTTTATATGGCTGCCCCCTCTGTTGTACAGTAGTTTTCAGAACAGTAGGCAGGAGAAGCAACTGTATTTTTTTATTTGTTTTTAACAGCTCTGGTGAATATTTTGGGGTCAGGGGCTACAGCTAGATTCACTGCTTGCTGGAGAGCTCTGGGCAGGCTGGGGACCAGTGGGAGCCACCGTGCTGCTGCTCCCCCTTTGCCGCAGCACCGTGACCACGGCCCAAGCACCTTGGATGCAAGTAGTAGAGAGCAGCCTGTGCCTGGCAGCCCACAGCCCCCCTCGGCGCCCCCCACCCCCCGGCTGTTATTTAATGCTCAAGTGACTGTCACGAATGCCTGGGAAAAGGGCTGAGTGTGAAATAATGTTTGAAATCTATTTTAAAAAAAACTGTAAATGTTCTTTTTATTAGATAGTGGAGCTAATTTATCCTGTATTCCCTACTGTAATGCTTTTTTATATTGAAAGGAATTTTTTTTTTTTTTTGGTAATATAAACCAGAACACAAGCCTGAAGCGCTCTCTGCACGGTTTTTGTGTGCGTTTCTTAAAAAAATAAAAAAATAAAAGAAAGATATTGTGACAGTGAAGTGAAACGGCTTTAATTTTCACTATTTGCTTGGTGTTAAGTACAGTCACTTTCTTACCAGAGGAGAAAGAATAAACTCAGGTACAGCAGCTAAAATGAGGTATAAACTGAAGTGTCCCGTTCTCCCCTGCCCCCCCACCCCAAGTGAAAACCCTTGACCAGAAAGGAGAGGCCAGGTTAGGACAGACAGAGCCTCTCCTTTGTCACCAGCTCCAGTTTGCCAGATATTGGTTAGGCGTAAATAAGGCGATGTAGGGAGTTATATGTGAATGATGAGCTTTCTTCACCCTCAAAAGCGAGGGTTCTATGAACACAAGGGTTTGGGTCCATCTCTCGCAGAGAAAAGGGGGTCAAGCCTTAGTCCTGGACTGTGCCAGCTCAGAGCATAACCCTCTGGGGAACACAACGTCCAACCCTGCACGACATTATACAAATGCAAGCAGGTAATTCATTGCAAACCATCTCCTGTGGGAGACGACATCAGTCCAAGGCCTTTCTCACAGTTTCACAGATAAGGAAACTGAGGCCTGTGGAGATGGGAGTTTCTTCTCAGCAGATCAGTAGCAGAGCCTGAAGGGATGCCTCAGGCTTTTGATCCCGAATTATATGCTCAACAGCCACCTGCAGCTGTGATGCCAGCACTTCTGTCCTTAGGGACGCAGCTCTGTACAAACGTTTCAGCATCCTCCTCCCTTTCCCCCCCGTTCACACCAGAGTGAAGACAACCAGTCGCAGTTGGTTTCTGGCAGCCCTGCAGATGCTCTGCATGGGCTCCATCCTCAAGCCGCCCTGAGAAACGCTCTCCTAGACCTCACCTGCTACAAATTTACCTCCTCAAGTGGGCCTGGCCATGTTTCTCCTGCGGCACCTTGCTGATGAGAAGGGACCATGCCAGGGACCACAGCCTTTTTGTAGCCGTTGCCAGGCGGGGGCATCCATTTGCCCCTTCTCACTTAGTTGTAGATGAGGCGTAGAGCCCCGCTCCACCTCCACACTTTCTACATGGTCCATTTATAGCAAGATGGAGCAAGAAGCGTGAAAATAAAACAACTTCATCTCTCCCCTTTCAGGACTAGGTACCAAGTAGCATGAAATCTCTTTCACGGCCACTCCCCCAGGCTTTGCTCTGTGTTGGAGCAGAAGACATTGACTGGCAAAACTAGAAGTGGCTCACTGTTTTACGTTTTGCAGAGGCAGCTGCTAAGCAGGGGACCAGAGGAATCTGACCTCATCTGATTTAAAGCTCCTTTGGAAAGCTGTAACTGCTTCATCCACCCTCCCACCTGATTTAACCATCAAGAAGTCTTTGGAGAACTGCTCTCACATAGTGCAGTAACTCACTTCTCTCACCTGCTGGATGACATTTTAAGGTACACTAATCAGGCAGCCATCTACAGACCCCGAGTCATAACTAAGTTCCTAGACATGCGGCCAACACGGGTGGGAGGACAGCATGAAGAAGACCCTCCATTTCCTTCTTCTGCAAGATTGCTTTTGCTGTGGTCAGTTTTACTTGTCTTTCCTAGAAACACAATTTCCCACCCCACCCCCCCGCCCCAAAACCAAAAATCAATCTGTGTATACATTCATGTGACCCCCCAAAACACAAAGAATCAAGCTTCACATACCTATACCAACAACTACAGCCAAAGTGCTGCACTGAAGCCATTGCAGCTGCCCGTGCAGGTGGTGTGCAGGGTGACAGCAGCAGCCGGAGCGTGCCACGCTCCAGCTCCCACGCGTAGCACCACTCCGTCTAATTCGTGACACTCTCCAGGCTGCACTCGACCATTTCCTGCCTCACAGGGAAAAGCTTTCCCGCTTACAGCCTGACTCTTCCACCTGAACAGGAAGGCTCCTCTTAAATACAAGTTTTAGTTGCTCAGTATCATAATTTGGACATGTTGAAAGCAGCTTGGCAGGCATGTGTTGTTGGGAGGCTCCAGAATTTAGCCTGCTGTTGGATGTTGCCTCTCCATTTGATTTACTTCTTAGGAAATAAATTAGTTGTGATGTTTCCTGGTTCAACTATTTCCAATATTCTTACCTGACAGACATTTTGCATGGCCAGTAGGTACAATGCACACAGTGTCCCAAGTTTACGCAGCTGCTTCTAAATGCCAAAAGCACTAACACAACATACAGTAACTACCCACTACCTTCTTCTAACTCTACTAAGATATTAAACAGCAATAGCCGTAGATCCCAGGCTCACCAGTGGCTCGAGGGCTGTTGTTCACACAAGCTCTTCTGTTTGCGTAGGCATCTTTCACTGGGATTTTGGGATGTCAGCTCTATTCCAGGTCACACTTTGATCCAGTCAACAGTAGCGCATGAGTAAGAAGTCCATATCCTGTACACAGACCTTCTGGCTTTAGTTCCATGGAGAGCAGAAAATGCCGCCTCCAGATGTGGACAGGGATAATCCACAAGAAAAGCGCTAGGAAGTAGGGCAGCCAACGCTGTTAAGCCCAGTAGGTGTTGGAGAAACTGGCCAGTGAGTACTAAAGCACATTTAGTCCATCCTTGACTGAGCTAGAAAAGGCAATGGTGCCTTCATACGTCCTGCTTCTTGCTGTTCTTCATTCCCGTTACGTATCTTAATGCTACAAACTTTGGTCCTGTCTTCTCAAAGTCCTAAGAGCTGTGATGCCTGCACATTAGCAGAGCTTGAACACCACCTCCCACAGCTGGGGCTCGTCTCTAGGGGCTGCTCACTGACCCAAGTTGCTGTACTGATGCTCGCTCTGCTTTTACTAGTGCTAACAATGGCACTCCTGCTTAACGAAAGCATCAGACGCTACCTCACACCCACCACTTCTACTGCTACCACCATCAGTAAAGCTGCAACTGTAGGAAGTGTTCTGGGGCGAAGGGGAAAAAAACGTCATGAAACATCCCAAGCAAGGGGATGTCTTTGTGCTCAACGGGCTATTTCCAATAGCTTCCTTCACTTCTCAAATATTGTAGTTCCAGCTGCTCTGCTGTTCCCAGCACTGTCCCTGCAAAGGGAACAAGCCACGGGCCTCCCTCTTCATTTGCTCTATCTCCTGGTGATGCAAAACTACGAAGGGGGTGGCACCTCTGGCAGCAAGGAAAGAAGAGCTGTTTGCAAAGCTCTGAACTTGACCTAGCCCCGTCCAGCTCCCAGCTCCATGGACAGTCAGTACTTGCTAAAAAGGGAATGGGATGCACACGAGGACACACGCCACCAGTCAGGTGCAAGACTCACCAAGGGGAGTAGCGGAGTCCCTCGGCAGTTGCCTTGCCGCCTTGTCTCCTCAGGGATTTGGTTTCAATGTGCTGGTCTTATTTTGTGCTTTGTTCCAGCAGGTTCAGAGCCTGTGATCCCGTCAGCCAGTTTCCCCTGGGAAACCGGCTCTTTTCCCTGAGCCTGCCAGGCCCGCACCTCCCTGAGCCTTCCTCCCCCTGCTCCTCGCCTCCTCCTGGGGAGGGCAGGGGGGAGGCCCGCCTGACACTGCCCCCACCCCCCTCCATTTTACCTGGCAATGCCACCAACACCGGGTTACACACTGATTCATGCCGGTAAGTGGAAAAGAAGGAAACCACTTTAGAACAAAAAGGGACTAACCAAAAAAAAAAAAAGTTATAATTAAAATGCAAAATTACAGACACAAACTCCCCCCCTCCCACCCTTCCCATGACAAAAAGCCCAGGATTTAGACTTTCTTGGGACGGCGTCCAACTTGGTAATAATAATAAATGCTGATGAGGATGAAGAAGATTCGGCTGACCAGAAGGAGCACGGCACCTGTGGCTATCCGGCTACTCTCGACCAGGGAGACAGTGGTAACTGGAGGAGGAGGGAGACAAGGCAGAGGTTGGTGATGAAAAAAAAACAAATGGAGACAAGTAGCACAAAGCTGTTTTCTACTGCCCTCTAACGCAGAAGCTTTCAGCACAGGCACAGTGAACCCATCGCCAAGGCTCTTCACTGGCTTGATTTCACAGCCTTGAAGTTAGCCACGGACTCACGGTCCCCAGAGCTCTCACTTTTATAGCAACCCTGCTTTAAAGGCAGCCCCACGTTCAGGCAGCCACAGTCGGAAACGGTCACTTGAGCAGATGCGAGTTTCCGTCGTGCTCAGGTGTTAATTGTGGAAGCGGCATGTTCCCGAGTTTGCTTTGTGGCTTGACCGCTTCAGTGCCGATAAACATTTTTCAACTGTAGAAGCATCTACAAAATACGCATAGTCCACACAGGCTACCTCTTTTCTGAGCAGCTCTCTTTTTTTGGCTACCGACTACCTTATAACACTGTTAGTGAGCTACCAATACACACATACCAAAACCCCCTTCATTGTTAAATATAGACAAGCTCCCTAGAAACAAGCTGAACTGTTATTCTCAGTTTTGGTAAGACTGAACATCCCCCTTTTTAATGTAGGTTGCTACGGTCTTTTCTCATTAGCCCCAGCATCTAGGCAGCCCACTCCAGGAGCTGACCTGCGCTGGCTATGAAGGCCAGGATGTTTTTAGGCAGGAAAACAAATGAATTGCCAGAGAAAGTTGTTTCCCCAGCACCTGTGCATCCTTTGCTGAGGAGCCCAAGGCAGAGGCTACTCCATGAGGAAGGAAAAAGGAGAGCAGTTGGCAGGGAAGATGCTCCCGGGGCCAGGTTATCTTTGTCAGTCCTGCAGAGCAAAATAGCCATCTCCAGCACCAGCCAGACACAGCATGGGGACAGCTGGGGACCTGTGGGCGTCAGGGACAGCATCTTCCCATCACCAGAGTCCACTATGACTCCCAGGGCCTCACCCCACAATTCCTTCAGCCTGGAGTTTACTCCATCAGACCCAAAGCCACTGCTCCAGTTTTGCATTTGGTCCCCACTGCTCACTCTGGTTGTCCTGCCCTCCTCCGCTTCTCCCTCCTCCTCCCCCCTGCGGTGGGGGGACGCAGGTGGGGTGCACCCCCATCCTCGGCCCCCTCCTCCCACTCACCCAGGAACTGCACGGCGAAGTAGCACGCCTCTGTCAGCAGCGTCCAGCGGATGATGACTTTCTCGGCCGTGTAGAGCGCGTTCCACATGATGAGCGAGATACCTGCGGAGGGACGGCGGAGCGCAGCTGCCCGAGGGCCGTCGGGGGGGTGGGGGGGGATCACGGGGAAAGGG